GCATTTCTAGATTGTCTATGGAATTCAGATGAAGCACTTTTGCCTATTGTTCAAAATGATACAAGAACACATTTCCTTCTTATTCCTTCTGCTGATGAAGTACATGCACAATATGGGGCAGTGTGGATGTATAATAGAATAAATACATTACTAAAAAGTATTGTAAGGTATTTATACAAGTTTTTCTTATATAGGATTTATAACTTATGAATGATCTTTAGTGTTCATTAGTTATCCTGAATTATAACATAAGTTTTGATTGGATAAGAAACTAATGTAGTAAAACACACGTATAACAAACTACCGGGCCTGAGAGACATATATAATTTTGCTTCCTTTAACTAACACATGCTTAATGTAATTTGTTACATCCATTTAGATCACAATATATTTTAGAGTCACTAGGAATAAAAGTTACTTTGTGGTAAGCATCAATTCTTTATAAGCATGTATACTATAGCAGTGTACGAAATTCCCGTCCGCCCGCACGCCTGAGACGTACTAAATCGGGCACGGACGTATAAATTTTACTGTGCATCAGCCCGCTTGGACGCACTAGTACTAATTTTACCCTATTCCCTCCTCTTTTGCAGATAAATAGTTTGAGAAGGTAAAGATCAAATATTTCAATCAAAATGCAAGCCATAATTCTCCACAGACAACAAAAAATAAACAAATCAATAAATCTGTAAAGATATGAAGAACACCACAATCGTTTTTTAATCTGAATTTCCTGTTTTCACGCATGAAACGATATCTTCGACTTTCCGCTAGTGTATAGTGCATTTTTTAAAAACTTGCAGGATCAGACAGATATCAAACGTATTCACACGTGTTAAATTAAAAGAATCAATTGGTATTAATATTTGAATAATGATCATAGGTCATATATTAGACAAAGCTAGAATCTAGTGTACGAAATAATATGAACTTTCACCTAAGGTAACATGGTGAGCTTTTATTCATTGTTTGTTATAAATAACTTTTGTTTTTAATTAAATTAAGGATAAACTTACGTTAGATTAAATCATGTAGCAATATTTTTACTTTTTAAATAATTTTATTTAAAAAAATAATTGAATATAGAAATAACACATTCATTTTTTAAAATATAAGTTTAATGGCAAATAAAACATAAAATTCTAAATGTTAAGAATTGTTCTTACGTACTAAAATTATAATATTTTTTTCTTTTTAATTAAAATCAAGCAGACTCATTTAATGTTTGTGAATATACCTATATATAAACTTTGATACTAAACAATGCTAAATATCATTTTAAAAATGTAAATGAAATTGGAAGAAAAAAAAATGACAGTGATGTTTTATTTTTTCTAACTTCATATTGAAAGTGAACAATTAATGAAATTTTAATCTTAGTACTTACTGTGTACGAAATTCCAGTGGATGTGAAAAAAATTAACAAGTTTGAGTGTGCGTATCCTGAAGTTCATAAATTGAATTTTATTATGCGGGCTTGCTAATTTTCAGCAGGGCTGACAGATTTTTTGAGTAGTCAGCCCTGCTGGTCCACCTGAATTTTTTCCGAGTTTCATACACTGACTATAGGTGTGTTTTACTATATTAACCTTGAAAGATTTCTACTGAAGTTGTACAGTTGTAGGTAAATCAAACTCTGGATTATTCACTGTAATACATATATCTTTATATTGTATTGTACATCATGTGCATAGAATACAAAGGCATTTATTTTTTAGTCCTTAAAATAAATATAAAGAGTTTTTTTTTATCTTTTATAACTAATTGATATACTGAATATTTGAATGGAGTTATTTTGTTTTTAGATCAGAGGCAGAGAGAAAGACCACAATGAATCGGTTTCATTTTTCAGTGCTTCCACTTTGGAAACTTGGGAATTGGTTACCAACATTACTGAGGGAGTGGGAGTGTGTTGATCATAACTGTGGATATGACCAAGTTCTTATCCAGTCAGATGGTACAGTGTACTAACATTTTTATTTCTATGCTGCTGAAATCTATAGACTATGCTGAAAAATGCCTGTTTACAGTACATTTTATCACACAATTTTTTTAATGGATGTGTATTTACCCCTGATTCCTCTAGTCTTGTTAGTAGGAGGATCGGAAAAAGTATAATAGCTTCTGTATTAGTTAGACTAAAAACTTGATATTAAGGTGAAGGCCCAATAACACCCATGCAGTTTTATTCATTAATTACATGTATCTATAAAATCTGTACGATCTATTGAATATGAAGTTCAGAGTAAGGGAACATGTATACTTGGTTTCATATTTTAATGGGCTTCAAATTTCATGGTTTTTGTTTGTTTGTTTGTGCTTGCTATTAAAATTTATTTAAAATTTCAATCAAGATAAAAACATGAAATCATTTTTATATTATCTAATAAACATTTATTGATTCAAACAGCATTAGATTACCCTACTGTGTTAAAGAGGCTAGATGCTCACTACGATTGGTTACCAAGTCCAGTATCTGCATTTGGAAACAAAACATTGTCACTGGTTCTCACAAACTCAAATGGATGTCAGCCTAGTACTAGTGTCAATGGTTCAGTTGCTCTTGTAACAACTGGAGGATGTTCATATTTCAAAAAGGTATTAACCGAACTCTGAACAGTACCGGGTATATCAATGTCTTAAAAGCATGCTTTATAAACTTCATAAAATGAATTTTATGTAATACTTTATATGTCCCTACAGATAACTAAAAAATGATGATTAATACTTTCTGGTGATTTACGGTCAGTTTAAATTTGCCAGCCTAACTTGTATAAATTCAATTTTCATGAATTTGATTTCCCGTATAAACTGTGATGGTGATCTATGTTCCTAAAACTTTCTCTTGTCTGTTATTCAACAATGGATTTAACAGTCCATTTTTTCTATGAAATTGATTTTAATACATGTATTTTAGGTTCAAGTGATGCATGATTCAGGAGCTATTGGAGTTTTAGTGATGCAGAATAAAACAGAACCACCACAAGACATGCAATGTCAAGACATTGAGTGTAACAGCCCTTTACAAATCCCCGCCAGCATGATTGAAAACTTCAGCTTTCCTCCCAAGTCCGTATAGCTAATTATTAACAACATTTAGCCTATTCTTGGCCTTTTTTATGAACTCACTATTTATTTTATTTCTGGTTACATTTTCAGATCTCGTCTCAATGTTACATTCCAGAACACACCCTCCCCAAACTTCTTTGCAGCCATTGATCCTCAGGGTTTACTACAGGAAGTGGGGTGGTTCCTATATCCTTCAATGAGTTTCATTAACTGGCAGACACAGTGGTAAATTATCCCTTTTTCATATCCTTGAATAAACAAGAAAGTGAAGAAACCCAAATTGATCAGTAAATATGTGCCCTCCAATTGCATGTTTCAGCAACCTGTCATAAGATTTAGATGTTAATTTTAGATTTCAAGGTACCGTTAATGTTTCATTAAATAAATTCATCTTATGTTGTGGACAACGATATAAATAATTGTGTAGATAAGAAATTTTTTCTTGTTCCTCATTATATCATTGCTTTGTTTATTCTAAATTTGAAATGATTTCTTTAAAGGTTTCAGTACAGGGAAAATTTGACTCAAAGATTACAGAGACCAGCTCAAGTCATCCACGTTTTTAAAGAACAAGTCATGCAGGGACAAGCAGGAGTGGTTGCCAACATTTCTACAGCACAGTTAACAAGTTAGATTCATCTTGGATAGTGCAAAGGAATCAGAATTTTTACTCTGAATTTATTTGTCAAGCCTCTAAAGATAACATTTGATTCGCTCATATGAACTCTTCTGATTAAAGTCATTCAGCATCTGACTATAGTCATTATATAAATGCAAATTCGGCAAAATTGCACTGAGGTTAAAATTGCAACCGGAAGTCAGCTAACAGTATTCAATTTCTTTTTTCATCTTAATTTAAAATTTTAAACATGATGTACACCATGATTTGAATTTTGTCACTTTTTACAGACTATCAGGGATTAGAACTGGACATGTCTCTTTCTTGTCCTGGTGACAAGGATACAACATGTGGCCACTGGGATCATGGGATCAGCTTGTTTGTTTGTTGTAATCCCAAATCCCCTCTCTGTGGAATGGAGATAGGAAGATGGATCAGTCCTTTCAGAAGGTTGGTAAAATTGTTCAAATTTATTCTGTATAATTTAAAATCACAGCACTTCCACATTTTCTATATGCAAGGAATATTTCATGTACATGTACTTGAAATGAAAACATGAAGTCTCTACTTACGATAAGAGTGGCAACTGATTAATCGGTTCATGTTAAAATGGATCCATTTTTTGAATAAAATAACCCTAGCTCTTTGTTCACCATGATCCAAGGAAGTAAGAAAAAACACTATATATATTTAAATTTTAACCTGAAAAAATGTTCATAGGAATAAATACTATTGATTCTTGGAAATGTTAATTTCTTTACAATTAGAGAAACCGTGTATTTAAGTTTAATGATTTACACCTACAGGGAAAATCTTATTCAGTTACAAGTGTAAAGGGAGAGGAGAAAATGCAGGGGACCAGACCAGGGTTTGAACCCAGGCCCCCTGAATCTCCAGTCAGGTGCTCTACCAGCTGAGCTATCTAGCCACCAGAGATCGAACTCGGCTGACCGCCACATTCCTCCCTCCGCAAAGACCCCAACCCAGGCTCTTGACATCCGTGGCAGGCCTCTCACCTGTCAATTCTAGGGCATGGCACGGCATCAAATGTAAAAGGAGAGGAGAAGATGCAGCAGACCAGACCGGAATTGATTCCCAATCCAGCCATACAGTTTCTCCTTTCCTATTACAGATTTGGTGCCATTGACCACCCCTGGAATTGCTGGTGAAAGACCTGCCAGGGGGTAATAAGAACTTGGGTTGTGTCATTGAGGGTGAAGACAATTTAAGGAGGGAGGAATGTAATGGTTTGGGCCATGGAGCTCAGTCTGTAGAGCACCTGACCGGAGTTTCAGGGTTCAAGGGTTCGAATCTCGGTCTGGTCTGCTGCACAAGCGTTCTTTAAAACCTTATATCAAATGCTTATTTTGTAATTATGGGCATGAGCTTTGCTATTGTTTTCCCCCGTTTTATAAGGAAGTTTGATTTGCACGCATCACTGAACATGAACACACAACTCTGGTGACTTTGCTTTTTTTATAGCTCACTTGAGCTGAAGGTTCAATTGATCTGTCTATCTGTCCATCTGTTTGTAAACTTTTCACATATTTGACTTCTTCTCAAGAACCTCTGGACCAATTTCAACCAAACTTGTCGGAAAGCATCCTTGGACGCAGGTGATTTAAAGGTGTTCACAGAAAGTGTCATGTCCTCTTGCGAGTAGAGATTATTAATAACATGTTTTTTTATTGTTTATAGGTTGTATTTTATTTGAAAATGTATGCTTTATTATTGCTAAATAATGCTCAATGAAATAATCTGTTTACTTGTTATGGAGGATTTTTATTGTATTAAAAAGTTTTTAAAATTTTCATACAGTAAAGAAGACAATATAATTAATATAGTATCATTTTTGTTAAAATTGAGCATCCTATTTTAGTAGCATGGTCAGGTGGAGGTCATCATATTTTTTCTTGAGAGAGGGGATATGTGACAGGTCAGATTTGGATTGGAACTAAGGCCCCCTTTTATCTGTGGTCAAGTGTTCTTCCAAATAAGCCATCAGGTTACCAATGATCAAACCCATCTAACCAACACATTCTCCCTCCTTAAAGGTCTTTAATTGTTTCTTAAGACACCAAACCAAGCTCCTCACTGCCAGGTATTTTACCTGTCACTCCCAGGGCATGGTGCAACACAAAATAGAACAGGAGAAAAATGCAATAGACCATACCAGTGGCCAGGTAGCTCAATTGGATGTATTATACTGATTTTTCCCTATATAAAATTAAATGATTAGATCTGAACAATTTCCTAGAAATCCCTGTGAATCGGCTAATCCTCATGCGTTAGTTTTTCGAGCTAATCCCTCCGTCAAAAGCTAGTCATGCTAATCCTTGTGCATTATTTTTTTTAGCTAATTAATCCCTTGGTTCGAAAGCTAGTTATGCTTATTCGTGCTTATCCGTAATCCTCTAGTTTTCATGATCAATAAATATAAATTGTGATTTTATTCAGTTTTGCGAATAATGATTATTGTATCTGTAAATGAATATTTTTTTTTTAAAAAGGTGATCTTTACAATTTAAATTTGTATCAGTATAATAAAATACTTAAAGTATATCATTGAGGGAGTTAGCAAGAATCCAGTTCCTCTCGACCAAGACTATTTCAGGAGGCGCGATGCACCAGGGGGAATAATACTGGTGTTTAGGAACTGGATTCTTGTTAACTCCTTCAATGATATACCTTAACTGCATAATAGCACCTGACTGGAGATTCAGGGGGTCCCGGCCCCAGTTCAAAATCTGTCTAGTCCTTCACAATAATTCTTCTCTTATTTAATTTGGTGCCAAGACCATGATTTGATTGGTGGAAATTTGATGATATATGAAAATTTTTTATTACTCAGCATTTTCTATACAAAAATATGAAGTTGTATTGATGTTTCTTTTTGAAATTGATATGGGAGCATTCCAACATTATGATGAGTTATAACTGTGTGTCACTTTACCCCAAAAGACCATAAAGAACCCAAAAGGAGAAGGGGGCAATTATATAATTTTTCATTGAAATAATTTTTAAGCGGTTAGCTAGCTAACCGCTTTATGGCATGGGCCTCCAAAAACCGGAAACTTCCATAAGGCGCTACCTATCGACATCGCTTTATGGCACGTAACCTTATCCTTCTGCAACCAAAACCGGAAACTTCCACAAGGCGCTACCTATCGACAACGGTAACTTCAGTAAAGCGCTTCCTATGATTTGTATACTGTTGGCGTAATACGCCCCCTGGTGAGAGATTGACAATAAGCTGTGTATGAAGAGTGGCTATTATAACGATTATATCGAATTCTTATTAGACTAGTATTTACCAATGCATTGACAATACTTAAAACACTAACTTCAAAGAACTGATAATTTGGTCCTTATTACATGTACATCGTGCGATCGCGATTTATAGCAACTGTTAGTTTATTTTTGAAAGTTGAACGATACGGTTAATTATACAGCAGGTTGAAGGTTATTACAGACTGCAAAAACATCAGCAAATCTCTCGATCGAGTTTGATTTTCCTTGCCAAAGTATTAAGAAACACCATTTATTAAGTTAAGTAATACCTGAAAAACGCTTTTATAAAAACACCGAATACATCTGTACGTTTTACACTTTTTGTAACGTTTTTATGGAAACAATAGGATTACCTCCACAATGAAACGTTTGTTTTCTTCTCTTTTCTTCTCTGTCTAATAAACAGATTATAAAAGCTCTGCTCCCAGGGGTAAATTCTCTACTCCGTCTTTGATAATTTATGACAAACGATCATAAGGGATCATTTAAGTCAATAAAGTACATTTCATAAAGCTTGATAATCTTGTTTACTCGCCAGTCTTCACGTAGAAGTAGTAGTTCATAATATTACTAAACGGAAGTATTCAGTATCTGTATCAAAATACAGAATGATCAATGATCGATTTAAGATGAAAAGCTGACTCCTGAAAGTTCAAGAGATGGGATCCGTTGCCTAGAAGAAGTAAGCATCCCTCGTTGACAGGTTACACCCGCAGTGAGCCTACACATCTGGAGCTCTCTGATATCAATTCATTTACAAAGTCTCTGCTCAGCCATCCTTTTTTCTCTGACTAGCCAGCTGTAGATCTACACTACTCCAAATCCATTAATTTAAAGAATTTAACTTGTCATTTTTTTAGTTGTTTGCTATAGTAGGCTTTACGATTACCTAATTTCAGATTCAATAGAGCATGAAAGACAATTAAATTTTCAACATCAACATAATTGTTTTCATCCAGAGAACGATTGGATGCCACCAAGAGAGAACTTTTAAAAATGCACTTCCTGTCTTTCAAACTGAAGAAATCTCATGTTTAAATTTTGAAACATGCATTTCAATCTAATTGAAATTTATTTAAATGTTCCAAATCCGCTACCGCTTCTCAAACATCTAACATCCCATTCGGGGTCACATCAGGGCGACCTTTCGATTATGAATACATGTACTAGTAAACACAAACACTTTGGCCATGTAGATTCAAGCCTCGGTAAACAATTCTCAAATTAATTCCACGGCTACATATCATCGTTATTGATACTGTCTTACGTTGAATTAAAGTAATTTTGGAATAAATTTCATGTATAGTCTGCAGTCTAGCATCTGAACGTGAATAATGCAAAAGAAAGAGCACAAACTATACAAGATACCCCACACGTCATACATAACACAGCTTTTGCAATGCATATTTTGTTTACTACAAGACTCCTCGGGTGTTTTGGTTCGGTGGTGAAAACAAGAAACCCATCTGAACTATAAGCCAAGATTTCGGAGGAACCATTTTCTTTGGCTAATCAAAGATTCACTCTTAAATGACCCCAAATAGGATATTGTTAGATGTTTGAGAAGCAGTAGTGGATTCAGAACATCTAATTTTAATTAGACTGCATCCATCTGTGACCTCAGTTTGGAATGTTATTGGTTTTACTATTAAGTAAAGTATTACAAAAACAGAATGTCTGTTTTTTTTTTTTTTTTTTTTTGTTCTCTGATGACAAAGATATGCATACTTAAATATCATCATTTCATGCACTTTTTGCGGTACATATTAGATGAAAGCATGCTAACCGCTTTTCAGTACTTTCAGTACTTTGATTGATATTAAAATCAAAATCCTTTAGGGTTCTTTTTGAATCCATTTGGGTTCTTTTTGTGCATATAAGTTCTTTTGGGTAAAGTGATGAATCCTATAGTTATGGTTTATCCAAGTCATAATCCATTAGGAAAAAGGATGACAAACAATAATTAAAATGATTAAAATATAGATCTCTACATAGTGCAAATTACTTTGTACTATTGTAGAGATCTGCATGTATTTTAATTGGATTGGTGGACCAAGACAGAGGTCTTAAGTTTAATACAGGAGTAAAATTATTTAACAGATGTGCATGACATCAAAGGCTATAGTTACAGTTGTACATGTACATGTAAATGTTACTTTTATTTCTCAGTTACTGTAGTAGTAAATGAACAACTTCTGTGTCATTTCAACATGGAACAATACTTTTTAAAACAAATTTATGGTCCTAATTTTGTCATCAATTACAACTGTGCTTTTCCATCTTCAAATGGTACATACATGTAACTGAATTAATAGTATACCGTATAAGTAGAATTTTTAGTGTGGATTTAATTTTGGCATTATTAGCGAGGGTTCCGAGATTGCTAAAATTGAATATCACTAAAAATTAATTGCAATTTATTTGTTATGACTTCTTTAACATTCATTTCAAAATCGCTAAAATAACATCTCGCTAAAAATAAATTACCAGTTTTTCAGAGCAAATCGCTAAATTTGCGTCTCGCTAAAATTTCCACTTATACAGTATTTTCTTCAAATTTATAATGACTTTAAAACTTTATAATGACAAGAGCTCTTGCCCCAACATAAACAGAGAAACTGACTCTCTTTGTTGGTTTTGATGAACCTGCAAATGCATTGTTTACTACATTACAAATCTGAATTTTGCTTGATTATAGACAACACTCTAGACAATATTTTAAAAACTGAATTTACTGAGGAGGACTAATACCCCCCTGGAATTAGGGATTATTTGTTGATCGAGACTTTAGCGCTGGTATTAAAATAATTAATCAAATACCATTGAACTGTAAGCATAATTTGGTTGGATTATCCTCACTTAAAATAAAGTTAAACATTAATTTAGTGGTTCTTTGAATTTTTTTTTTCAAAAGATTTTCTTAAGTTAAAATATGACATTATTATTATAAAGAGAATACCAAAATAGCCGCCCCCTATCACAATTTTCTAAGCACCCAGGACAATTAATAGGTTCAAAACCCTACTTCTCCTTCTGAGTCAGTTTAGTAAGTTACTTTTATGCATTAATTTGTCACCAAAATTTTACTAAGCAATTTTTGGGAACAGTATACAATCATACATGTATTTTCATCAAACTTTGTTTAAAATACATGTTTACTGTATGTATTGGTAAGCACAAGTCAACTGTTGTTGAAAATCTCTAAATCTTCAGTGCATGATCCTCCTTTCAACCCTCATGTTACATATACTGATAGCTTGTTAATCTAAATTTCAAGAAATTATGTGAAACATTTTCAATATCCACATTTCATAATTAGTCACTTGTTTTAAGGAACAGTTAATAAACTGTGTTTGATTGTATGTTTTCTGACCTTGTCCTTCTTTATAATATTCACCTCCCTTTTCTTAATCTTGAGTTATAACTGCATTATTTCTGAATCCTAATTATTTTTACCCTTCATAGAACATCACATAAATGTACCTCTCTCAATTATTCCAGAATTTTGAAATTTACTGGTACCCTGAAATTTTGCATTTAATGTAAAGCATTTTTAAGATTCCTTCAATCAACAACACAATTAAATAAATGTGAAGATTCTGTGTTCTATTATGATGACCTTGACCTCACATTTCTATTTTTAATACATTTGTCCATTTTTCTTGAACATTCTATGAAATAACATCTGCATTTGATGTCACATACAGGTATCTTAGCAAAATCTTAGCAAATGCAAATTAATAATAAATTGATACCCGGTACCTGTATAAACAATTTGTGTGTCTTTATCTTTTGTAAATTGTGACTTTAAAATTGATCATGACTTTTTTAAACATTGATGTATGTTGCATTTCTTAATCAATGACTCTTTGTTTCCTAATAGTTCTTGAATATGACCATTAACTTTTTTTTACTAAGAAACATCTTGCTAAGAGCAATTTAATTATGCAAAGATGCAAAGTTGCCCCCTGACCTTCACCATTAACCCAGCTTCAATTACCTGTACTTGATTTTGCATACACTTATAATGAAAAAATCAGAAGAATACACTTTCTGTTGACATATTGTAGTTAAAAACTGTACCTGATGTTGAGAGTTTGACCAGTTCCTTCAGAGCTGTAGAGTCCAGTGTAACTGTAGCCTTAGCATTACTGTAGATCAATGACTTTATGGAGTCAAGCTTTGTCCGTGTGTCTGACTGTGTCCCTCCTAACACAGGGTGATAATTATTCACCAAATGTAGCATCAACATCACTACTTGAAGATATGTCAGCATATCTTAATTCTTAAACAATATACAAAATATCAACAGAGGATAACAATCAAAACCTTCATGGACTATTTATAATCAAGGACATCTGCATCTGTTACAGTAAAGCCTCATGCAACAAGTTCATCAAAATATCATGTTACAAAAAAACCCTCGTTCTCTTGCTTATAATATTTAGCTCTACTAGTGGAAACATACCTGTAGAGGTCGTGCAATATTAAATCAGGTGTCTGTTTTCCATCTGTCTAGCTGGCAAGTTCCTTAGGCCTTTTTGTATGTAAACATTTTTTTTCAAAATGTTCCTCCTAAAGTTTTTGGCCCAATTATAAGATTTGGTACCCAAGTATTCTAAGCAAAGATGCACAATTCTAAAATAATTACACAGTAAGTCTTTTTATCAGGCTTTGATTTTGTCAAATGTTTTTATCATTAGGTTGGTTAATTAATTACTTGAAACTGGATTCAAACTGTCTGAGGAGTAGTGTTTTAAAAGAATTTAACAGAGATCAATTTATATTCTTTTAAAACCTCATACAGTTTGAATCCAGTTTCAATAAGACTTGTTACATAAGTAGACTTTACACAGATACAGCTGAGATACACAAATATATAGCTAAAGTCTCATCAGAGACTTTGGGTTAACTTAGCATTTTCTTGCACTTGTATACACTTCCTTTATTTTTCAGGAGAATTGGTCGCTGGTTGACTGATATTTCTCCCTTGCTTCCCATGATTCAGAACAACCAATCAGCTGTCTGTAAATTCACAATGAAAACAGCACCCTGGGCAATGCCTTGGATACCTTCTTTAAATCTTAGACTCTACAAGACAAATGGTAAAAAAAAAATCTCTTTTTAGAGATTTATATTAGTGGCTGGACTGTACATTAGATTACATTTTGCTCTTTAATATTGTAAAATATTGTTTTAGTACATATATGTACACAAGTTTAGGCATCAAAGTGATCAAACTATGTTTGTGACATGGTACTATTTGTTGTTCCATTACCCCTTATAGGTGCATCGACTCATTATTGAGTGTTTTAACTCAAGTTTTATTCAGTTTACAACCTTCACTGCATTAAAGTGAAGTATGATTATGCTAGATATATATTGACTTCTGAGATTTCTAATCATTGATCAAGAATAAATATTATTGCATCTATCAACAGTATACGCTCAGGTTAGATGAGAATTATATATCATGTTGAGAGAATGAGAACTCAATTGAAGATCAAGATTAATTTTGTACTATATATCTAGACTGATATTTTCAAATCTCCTACAGATGTAGTATAAGCATATAATAAGCTATATCCGGAGGTATGGGAGTATCTTGGTCAACATCAAGGGCAAAAGGTCTAAGTCACTGATATAAGTATGTGGGATCTGCTTGATTTTTGTCAGATATCTGGTTCAAAATGTCAATCATTTAAAAAAAAAAAAATTCTGACACAAGAATGAGAATTTTATATATAAATATAGCTATAATTCTTATTTTTCAGATACCATTTCCCCATCGGAAACTTTTGTGCTATACCAACCTGGTGCAACATTTGACAACCATTATAATTCTCATTTTAAACCATACACCTTCACCCCTCCAAAAGATGTCAAGAAGGCAAGTCATTTGACGATCAGTAGCATTAATTATGACAATATTCCATAATTGTTTACATCCAGTCATTTTATATCAGTCTTACCAACATTGACACTTAACTTGATAAGAAGTGACTTAGTGAGTTATAAAAAATGTGGGTATATTTTTCTGTTTACTCTTGAATGGTTAAATGACAGCGAAAATATTATACAATTTATATTAAATGAAGATATTAGATTTTAGGGCTTGTTACTTTGTAAGTTTGTATGCATCATACATGTATTAACTTTAGAGGTACTGAAGTTATAATTTAGTAATTTGTTGTACTTATAGGTTGTGATATTTGCTGTGATTACTGGTCACGGAAGTGATGAGAATGGCTGTGGAGAATTCTGCGTTACTTCTCATCATTTTTCTGTTAATGGACATATCAATAACATAACCTTCAGTGATGCAGGTGAGTTACTTTAGTGTAGAAGTTTTATTTTTGATAGTTTAAAATATATTTGTATAGAAAGATGTGACAATGGTCCTTTTCACATTTAGGGTAAATTAAAAAAAAAAAGATTGTGTTTCAATTTCTTAAAATTTTAATAGTCATAGTATACTAGCAATGCAAGTATTTTAATCACCAAAACTCTTCTCTACTATTTGTCCTCATATAAACCTTCTAATGAAAATTATGTATGGTTTATGTTTATTTACTTCATCCTGCAGTCTTATTTAATATTCTTTTATTTTGACATAGGAACTCCTCTTGGATGTGCCAACCAAGTTTTAAGTGGTGTAGAACCAAATGAACATGGTACCTGGTTGTATGGTAGAAATGGTTGGTGTGATGGTAGAAACGTGTTTCCTTGGGTTATTGACATTACTCAACAAGTTTCTCTGGGCAAAAACAATCAAATAACATACTATGGCTGGTTCAATGGAACAGATCCAAATCCCAAACAAAATCCAGGAATGATATCAATTTATTCATATCTTGTTTATTATAAATCTTGACTGTACTGTAATTGTAGTGTATGGACAATTTTTCATCAACAACGAATATAAACTTGTAGAGGACTTGAAAAGATATGGACCAAGAGGCCCACAATCATGTAATCAATTTTGAACCCTCTCAAATGAAAAACGTGTGATATCATCACACCCTTTTTTTCCCCATTCCTTTACTTAGTACTGTATCTCACTTTTTTAAAACAGTGCCAAAATTCATGTATTCATTTAAATGAATTAACGATGATCTTGGTTTCTTGGATTTTATATTTAAATTTTGTCCTATCTGATGTAACTAATTGGAGTCATCCTGCTTACAGATGGTAACTTAAGACCCATAGGTGACAAGCTAAATTGTATAATTTCAGTCAGACTTACTATGTTCTTGAGGTGTGAGTTGGGGTTGTACTTTTATTGATAGTTGCGACAGGTGCAGACTTTTTTAATGTTAACATTTTGATTTTACATCTTAATCTTCTCTCCTAGTCTCTGAACTTCTGTGTTCACACAAGCAAGGCTGCTGTCTGGTAAGATATGACATTTGTAACACAGTAGATAAAGAAAAATATTTCAATGTGATGACAACTATTATCCATAGTTTCCTGTTATTTGTTATTTTGTTTCCAAATTACTTATTGACATATCTTGTTCAATTTATATATAAGCATTCCAAAGAATTGCAGAGGTGATTTTTTTGGCCCTGCTTTTTTTTTCATCCTCATGCTGTGCAAAGTTATGGACTATATTTTGTTTAACAATTAATGATTAAATGTACATACATGTATAAAGATAGCCAATGCATTCTGACTTTAACTTAACTCATGTACCAATATATTAGAAAAAAAAATTAAAGACATATATTCTTTTTTCAATTGGTTTTTGTTTTACATTTTCTTACAAATCATTGTGGTTGTCATCATCACTTGCCAAGAGTTTCTGATCCTCCACTCTCCTCATAAATTCCTCAAAAAGTAAAGATTTTCTGCAGATTGAAGTTCAAAACAAATGCAGCAGAGCAGAACTCCCGGCCACCAAAGATGTAAACTTCTGTACACTTTGATTTTAGTAAAGCGGTGTTGACCAGTAAATGCTGAGTATGCACCCCTATATATTTCAACATTTGCGCCTTTACCTACATTATCTACTTTAACGTGATCACCAACTTTTAGATTCACAATTACAGTTCTGCTTGTCTGGCCCCATAGTTCTTCTCATGAACTGACCTACAGTGTATATATTCTTGCTACAATTTGCTTGTTAACTATTATGGCAAGCCAGGTCTATGGCATGCCAAATTCACAAAAATGAGCAAATCATAGTTTCACAATCGATAAACTAGGTTTATCGGTTGTAAACTATAGTTTACAGACTGTAAACTATAGTTAACAATGTTAATCTATATTTTACATCTGTAAACTATAGTTAACGCGATAATCTATGTTTCACAACTGTAAACTATACCTTACACTGAAAACTATCATTTGCGATTGCAAAACATAGATTTTCTGATAAATACAGTTTCATGATTTGTAAACTATAGTTTACAAACCGTTAACTATAGTTAACGATCTGATAAATATAGTTTCACGATTTGTGAAACTATGATTAACAACTCTTAACTATGGCACGCCAAATTCACAAAAATGAGTGTATATATTCTTGCTACAATTTGCTTGTTAACTATTATGGCAAGCCAGGTCTATGGCATGCCAAATTCACAAAAATGAGCAAATCATAGTTTCACAATCGATAAACTAGGTTTATCGGTTGTAAACTATAGTTTACAGACTGTAAACTATAGTTAACAATGTTAATCTATATTTTACATCTGTAAACTATAGTTAACGCGATAATCTATGTTTCACAACTGTAAACTATACCTTACACTGAAAACTATCATGTGCGATTGCAAAACATAGATTTTCTGATAAATACAGTTTCATGATTTGTAAACTATAGTTTACAAACCGTTAACTATAGTTAACGATCTGATAAATAGAGTTTCACGATTTGTGAAACTATGATTAACAACTCTTAACTATGGCACGCCAAATTCACAAAAATGAGATAAACCTAGTTTCACAATAGATAAACTAGGTTTATCGACTGTAAACTATAGTTTACAAACCGTAAACTATAGTTAACGATTCGTTAAGTATAGTTCACGATTCGTTAAGTATAGTTTTCATTGGTAAAACTATATTTAACAGTCATTAACTATAGTTTACGAATGCTAATCTAAGTTTATCTGTCTAACTAAAGCGTTAACAATAGATTTTGTTGATAAACATAGATTCACGTTTGTAAACTATAGTTTACAATCGTAAACTATAGTTAAGAGTTGTTAATCATAGTTTCACAAATCGTGAAACTATATTTATCAGATCGTTAACTATAGTTAACGGTTTGTAAACTTTAGTTTACAGATCGTGAACAAATCAGATAATCTATGTTTTGCAATCGCAAATGATTGTTTTCAGTGTTAAGTAATAGTTTACGGTTGTGAAACATAGATTATCGCGTTAACTATGGTTTACAGATGTAAAATATAGATTAACGTTGTTAACTATAGTTTACAGTGCGTAAACTATAGTTTACAACCGATCGCTTGACCCCAACATCCGCTGCAATGCATTATCGGAATGTACAAGTCGAGAATTTATTAAAAAATAAAATATATGATTTGTGGTTTATTCTTTAGATGGAAAATATGATGGTCACTAGATATTTTAAAGTTCATTGATGTACCTAAAGCGGTTTTAATTTTATGGCGCTAGTCCACGAACTTTTTGATAACCCCTCGTAGTGTATCAAAAGAGTATATATATGCATTTCCCTGAAAGCTTTATCTTCATTGTTAACTTTTTTAACATAAGCTACGTTCATACAGAAAGTGGGGTTGCAAGATCCTTTTATTTCTAGGTTATACTAAAGTGAACAAGTCCATCATCATTATTCAAGAAACGTTAACATACTATGATTAGGAAACGCAAGGTAATGATCATTAAAACATTGTAAGCACTGCATTCTAGTCTATGCACTTGTCAGACATAAATGCTAATTCCAATGTATTTTTTTCGTATTCTCATAATTATGTTCAATAATTGTCTTTCAATTGGTTAAGAATTGCATTTTGTAGGTTCGCCAAAATCAACTAGAGCAGTCATGTGTTCGTTGTTGATACTCTCATTAATGTTGAGACCTGTATGGCACGCCAAATTCATAAAAATGAGATAAACCTAGTTTCACATTTGATAAACTAGGTTTATCGACTGTAAACTATAGTTTACAAACCATAAACTATAGTTAACGATTCGTTAAGTATAGTTAACGATTCGTTAAGTATAGTTTCATCTGTAAAACTATATTTAACGGTTGTTAACTATAGTTTACAAATGATAATCTAAGTTTAT